CATTGGGGCAATATGGTTTGTAATATAGATACTGAGAAGCTATCACGTTTGGTTCTTTATCTACTTTCAGCACACATCTCTCATCTAAAATCACCCCTCCAACCATCACTGACTTTGTGATCCCTTCTCTATTCCAGCTGCCTTTTCCTCCAGCTCATGAGGCAGGCTTCCGGCTATGGAAAGCTAAAGGTAAAGGTAAAGGCCCTCCCATTGATCATCGATTTGCTCGAGCGGGCCCAGTAACGTCTCCATTGGAGACTTTGTTGTTACTGTGTCTGGCATATCGAATACGTCATGGGGAGTTTGCCAGGCTCTCCTAAAAAGGCAGTTTATGGGTCAGAGACATAGCAGAGGGATCTCAGCACTTGTCATCCACGAGGCTAACTTTGGGTCAATTTTGGTTCCCCGTAAAGCTCCCAAGCACCATCAAGAGGAAACCCTGAGCACAGAGCTATGAGTATGTCCTAAGTACTGACAGAGACGGTCCCAAAACCAAAATAAATAAGTAAATAAACAAAAAAACCCAAACAAAACAAAACAAAGGCACCAGTTGCTATGACATGAACTGCATAATACAATACCACATATAAGAAAAAGATGCAGGAAGAGGTGAGAACTTATGCCTTTCTTTTTTTGCTTATAGTATAACATCAATATTAATATAATAAAAGTATACGCTGTTTAAAATATGCACATTATGGATAATGATGTTATCCTTGAATTCTTAAAATAGTACAGTGTCTAGTTTCCATCTATCCTTCCTACCTTTGCATATCTGCCTCAATACTAAAGTAAAAGTAAAGTAAAGGCCCTCCCGTTGATCATCGATTTGCTCGAGCGGGCCCAGTAACGTCTCCATTGGAGACTTTGTTGTTACTGTGTCTGGCATATCAAATACTCTCCGTAGCTTGCCGGGCTCTCCGAGAGGGGCGGAGGAGTTGAACTCTGGTCGGCCATGTTGGCTGCATGCAAGGCAAACGTCCTACCCACTGTGCTATCGCTCCAGTCCCGACCCTTTAAGGACATTTAATCATGGCAATGTTAACTCAGGATAAAAGAAAAATAAAAACAATCAAAATATTGATGTGGCAAAAATAGTAAAATGGAAAGTATACTATTTACTCTGGTATATCCTACAGATACATTTGGTTTGCTTGGGATAGTTTATTGCTTTGTTATTTCTTTTTCTTATTTTTATTTCCATGTGCTTTGCTCTACCAACTTTGGCTGAAAATATTTTGTAGGTGTCCATATAGTAAACACTCATATTTTTATAGCGATTTAGTGTGGTGGAGAAGCTTTTTTTTTTTTAGCTCCCCAAGGCTTACACACATCAATATTCTAGCTATTCACTTTCGAGGCCAATGGAAAATGTGCTTCTAAGATTAAGTAGGTTTGAGTAACACATAAATTCAGTTTACACTGATGCTAGATGTTACAGCAACTCCCATCCTGAATTTCTGACTAGTGGAGTACACCTGTTGGACAACACCTATCTCTGAAGAGTCACTGACCTGCAACTCAAAATGAGACAGGCAGGAAGCGCTTTACAGAAAGCCTCACTTACACAGAGCATTCCTCCTCTGTGGAAGTGTATAATGAGGACCCTGTCACTAAGGAAAGCTGGTTGACCGGGGTTCTTTGAAAAGATTTAGACTAAATGGCAGTATCTACAGGCACCTAGGGTGCAAGTGCCCTTTGTTTCGAAAAACGTTTTTCCTCCTCTCCCATTTCTTCATAGTGCTATGTTCAAACAATATTCACACATAGAACCAGAGACATCAATTAGGAGCAGGTGCCCTGTGTGTGATGAGTACACGCCCTAACTCCGTGGCAGGCCAAGGCACCCGAAGCACTGCCAGGTATTGCCCTGGAGGCTCCCCGAGCACTGCTAGGTGTGGCGCTTGTGATACCCAGCACAACTGGAACCAAGTAGCAGCTCTGTGAAGTACTGAACCATCTGGACCAGAGACCTGAGTGAAGCTTGGAATGGTCCTGGATTCTCTTAAATGTGCTTGGGAGATGCCCCCAAAATTATCCAGACGAAATACAAAATTCCTTCTTTTTCAGACTTTCTATTTTCTCCTTAGAAAGGAACTAAGGTTTCTTAGGAAGAAACCCTTTGTTTCTGCCAGTAAGTATCTTTTAAATACATAATTAAAAAATCTATAATTACATTTGGTTTAAACACTCGATTGCCATATTCACCTATTATTGGCTACAGTCACACTACTTTTTTTTTTTTTTTTGAGTGGAGGAGGTTGGGCCGCACCCAGTTGTGCTCAGGGATCATTCCTGCTGGTGTTCAGGGTACCACATAAGTTTCCAGGGTCAAACCTGGGTCAGCTGTGTGCAAGGCAAGTACCTTACCCACTGTACTATTTTTTCAGTTTCCAGCAGCACCACCTTTAAGTAGACAAGAGACTACTTGTTTTCGGTTTTGCTCAGATTCAGAACCATATATAACACAGCATAGTGCCTGTGATAAGTATGCTTAATGATGCATAGATCTGATAAATTATCATATACTAAACAGAATCTAGTGTCCAGACCCAACAGTTCTTTCAAGAAATCTGTGAAATGTCTTTTGGTAACAAAATTACATTTTGGCTTTCAGATTTGGCTAAGAATATTAGATTATATACTGATAAAATTTTATTATCAACTGTTATATTTTAGAAAATATGATGAAAATATGCAGAAATATTTAGAAAATATTCAGAAGAAAATATTCTTATATGCAATGATAACTATTTCTCTCAACGTAACTGATAGTTTACGAGTTAGTCATTGAGCAAGCTGGGTGATGGGTATATGCGGGCTCATTATAGCAATGTCTACTTTCAGGTTTTGATGCTTTAAGTAATAAAAAAATCTAACTACAAATTAATGTAGACATCTACTCATCTACTCATTACTGATTTATTTACTTTTTATGTACAATATGCTGTGGATGTACAAAGTTAAAATCTAACAATGCTGCTGTTAAACCTTTGGTAAATTAAATAAACTTTTCAAAAAGAATACTCGTTTTAAATGATGTTTAAAAGGTTTTGGTTATTTCATAGCCGATACTTAGAGTAAAATTTTAAAAGCAGGACACAAAATTATATACAAAGGATGACTGCAGCGTGTTTTAAAATATATATCCTCAGGGAAAATGAGAACAAGGGAATATGTTATATGGTTATTAATGATTAGATTTAAATTATATGAATAATTACTTTAATTTTTCTTCATTTCACTCCTATGTATTTTTCAAATTATTTTAATGAACGTGTATCATTTTAAAATGAAAATAAATATTTATTCATTAGTGGACAAGATAAAAGTGGATAAAATCTTCCCAAAGAGCTTTTCATTTACTAAAACAGAGAAACTGCAAATACACAACATGGCCCTGGTAGTTTAAATCTTCGTACCTAGAAGTGAAATACACCCACAGGAAAAGAAATGTCAATACAGATTTTATCTGATCATAGAAACATAAAGAGCTTTCTGTGTGTTGGGTAGAAATGGGAGAACTGGCTTCAGTGCAAGCCAGAAAGAGTGTGAAATTCAGGCCGTTTGGTGATGAGATCATTTTGAGATGAATGCAAAAGGAGTGACAAATTAAAGTTACCAAATAAGCCTGTCTTTGAGGCCCTGGAACTCACACTGATAGGAGGGTTCTTTTATTTTATGTATTTATTTATTTATTTATTTATTTATTTAGGTTGGTGTGGGTGGATGACAGCCGAACAAGTACAGCATGGGAATAGGAGTGGGGAGGAGAGGGAGTCACAGTCCTTAAAGCTGTGGCCGTCAATGACAAGATGAATATGTTCACAGAGCCAGAGATAGATGCACAACAGAATTAGAAACGAAAACATGGCAACAACTATGGATGACGTGCAAGGAATATGAACAGTCCCCATTAGAAAGCTATCTTTATTACACAGACATTGTTTTCCCAATTTTATGTACATTTATATAACAGAAAATCCAAAGTATAATTTCTAAAGTTTGGATGACTATGTGATGTTCCTGACTACACAGGCCTGGCGAGAACCAAACAGACTGCAGTCAGTGGCCAGGCCAGTCAACCCTTGCTGCCTCCAGAACACCAGTGTATGCCCAAGTGTGTTCCAACGCAGGCCACCTCTCAAAAATTCAGCCTGTTCATGCTATATCTAACTTGATCCGGAGCAAAGATGCCCTCTGTGCTGGCCTGCACTCTCCCCTCTTCACTGAATTCTCATGAATCCTAGAAGGCCACAACCTTTACGAAAGATTACAGATTCTCACTCAAAGACACACTGAACTGGAAGTTTTGTGGGTAGGCTCACTTGCTACCCATCCTGATCTTGGTTTTCTTACTTCACTGATAGTGGGGAGGTGTCCTAATGAGAATTTTCCCTTTTTGTTTGTGGCTATGCACAAAAACAGTCACATATGATTTTTCAAAACTGATAAAACTAATGTGAATGCATTTCAGATTTGCAGCATATCAGAGAATAGCAATCTGCCATTCAAAACAGCATGTGCTCAAAGAGTTTTGTGCTAGCTTGCTTTTTGCCACAGCATCTAATGTTTCAACACAGAAAATTCTGGTGCCACCTTCACCAATCACCCTCATTGTTCATGCATGCATCGTGTGTGTGTGTGTGTGTGTGTGTAGTGTGTATTTGGAGAGTGTTACAAATAATACTTTGAATACTTCCATGTTTGTGAAAAATAGTTTCAATACTTCTACCTTTGTAAAATGTTTGTTAAACTCAGTGATAACAGCTTTTTGAGTTTACAATTTATGATAAAAATTATGTTAGAAGGAAAATAATAGAATATGAAATCCATATCCTTCACCAACATCAAAAAATTTCTGTTCAAATTTAGTAATTGAGCTAGTAGGCTCAATGAAACCTTCGGTTCTAATACTCCCTAAGACTGGGAAAATTATACTTGACTTCTTTGTAACACAATATTTTGGTTCATCATTTAGAAATAATTAAATTACTTACCAGACAGCAATGTCCTGAGAAATATCCAGTTACTGATGGTGAAACATTCTGAAATGAAACAAAAACCACTATTAATGCTAGGTATTCAATAAAGATATGACAATATGGTAATCAAAAAAATAACCACTATATTTTTCACTTTGGGACACTGACTTAGTGATACTACACAAAAGGTAAATGATGCTTCCCTTTGGGAATGAACATTTAACTGTGTACTGAGAAACTGGCTTTTGAAACTGCATCTTTAAGAGTCCTAGTCAGCTACGACCAGTTGCGAGTGACTTGCTGCCCATTTCAGAAATTCACTGTAACTTGTGTTGAGAAAGTTATGCTTTATGGTTAATTATCCATGGTCTGTTTAAAAAAATAAATCAAACCATTGTGAACCACCAGGATTTGTAGCTCCATTTGAACTTTACTGTACTTTGGATTAAACATTTTGTAAATAAAAACAAAATGGTTTCTCCTTGTTTTTTAGGTTTTTGTTACTTTGTTCTGGATATAAATATTGTGGCAATGGCGGAAGAATAAGCTATGGATTATTTACCCCTGGTTTCATAAATTGGGAGTTATTGGCTTTATCTTGCCTCATGAGTATAAATACATGTACAACATTAAATGCAAATGCTTCAAGTCAAATGGGATGAGTGAACTGAAACCTTTAAAAGCCAAAACCTTTTATGCTACGTCACAGAGCAACAACACCCCCTAAATTAACTTTTTAAAAAGCGTCCACTGTAGAGCAACACCATTACCAAATATCATATTATCTGCATTAAAAAATAAACTTTCTTGGGTGTCAGAGAGATAGTACAGTAGGTAGGATGTTTGCCTTGCATATGGCCGCCACAGGTTTAATCCCCAGTACCACACAGTGAGGTCTTAAAAATAACCAGAATGAGGTCTCTCTAGCACCAAGGAAAACCCCAGAGAGCAAGAAGAAGAAGATTCAAAACATCCAGGGGATGAGCTTGGAGGGAGTTTATCTGAGATCCAAAGCACAAATGTATATCATATTTGCATGAAGTCTAATGAGGACCATCTGCACAACTTGTCAAAATTGGTTTTTAAATGACACATAGGTCTTCATAGCCTTGCTCATTTAAAGGACCTTTAATAAAGAGATAAAACTGCCTCCTGTAATTTGCTACTTTTATAAAGACAGGGAGGATAATAAGAAATTCCTAACAAAATAGGATAATTCGTATATTACTAAATCTTGAAGAATACTGTATTCTATTTTATTACCCTTTTATAATTCAAGTGGCTTACTGTTCACCTGTATACTGACATGGAACAAATAATCACAGGAGTTCCCTCACCAGTCCTCCAAAACATGATATTTATGGCATTTTATTTATTATACGAGAGATTCTGCTAAAAAGGTAAGTCAGTGACTGAGGTTCTTGTTGCAACATTAAAAAAATATATACGTGATTGCCAACAGCAACAAAAAGCTAGGTTGAGAGAGCTGTGAAGGACTCCGGAAAAATTAGAAAATGTCAAAAACTGTTCCTAGCCTCTTACATATTCAGGGAATAAAATACTTCGGCCTGCCAGCCCTACTAGCGCTGAACCCACATAGAAGAGAAACTAGAAGTAGACTATCTGTTCCCAAGGTCATGGTTATGACGGAGAGTTAGTGCTGGAAAGACTCAGATGCATCCTTTGGGTATTGAAAAGACCAATGAAAAGTCAAAGTGAAAACTACTGTGAAAAATTGAGACAGGCAAAACATTCAAAGATGTTTCACTTATACATTTTCTTTAATTGTTTGTAGGTGATGCCTCCAAGTAGTTTTAAAAATCCAGAAAATGCTTGTCTATAGAGCTTTGATTTTCAAAGTTTTCCTTGAACATCCAGGGTATGCTGAATGTTGTCCTGTGTATAGAACTGCACACCAAAATCAAGTACTTGGTTACAGATGATTAATCATAGTAAAATTACATTATAAAGAACGCATTTTACATGGTGCAGAATTTATTTTGTCAATCAGGTACATAATACAAGACTGCATATTAGAATCCATGCTCAGAATAACATATGTAGAGGGACAATTAGAAAAAAATATACTATAATTTCTAGCTGAAAACTAAAATATACTGATTCTCATTATTTTTCTGCAAAGAAATCTATTTACTCTATAGTCCTTTAAAAGTAAAATTTATGAAATGTATATCTATAAACAAAAAATCTACTAGCTCTGTCACTCATATTAAGACAACAAATGTCCTCAGTTATCATAAATAGAGACATGATAATACCAATGATTTCAATCACTCCACTGTTAGAATGGAGTACATATTCAGTCTATCAAATGTGAATAAAACAGAAGAATTCTCTTGGCTTTGATTTTTATCTCTATGCACCAGATTTTTTCCATATAAAAGGAACCCTAAATTCAATACATATAAGAGAAAGCTAAACAAACTAAGAACTACCCTGGATCTTTTTTTAACTTTCATTATGTTTAAACCAAAGAAAAAACTCACCTCCTACCTTCAGTGAAATCAAATGAACCGATTTTTATGACCTTACCTTACAGAAATAAAGGGAAATATCTGATTCCAAATGCAAGGAGGTGAAATACTCCCCTCAATCCCTTCTCATGACCATCTCCATTTCACCCTTTACAATTGTATTTAAGAACCCTCCAAACTACCACTATCATCACTGCTCACACTCCTGATCTTACATTTTCTTATTTTCTTCTAGGCCTTGTTTCTCATCACTTTGTATCCATTTTATAGTCAGTTGACAGCAGAAACTATGAATGAACAACAAAACTAACCCAAATCCTCTAACTTTCATCAGATAATTGCATAGTTTCCAGAGGACAGAATTAGTGTAACAACATATTATAACAGGGAAGAAAGGCCAATAAACTTCAAACAAACCTTATTGAGTTCCCATCTTAGTAGGGAAAAGATACTGCAATAAAAAAAAAAAGAAGAATTCATGGGAAAGGAGTGAAGGACTGCAAACAGAAGAGGAAAACAAAATTTCATTTCATATTTGAAACTTAAAAAGGACAGTAGAAAAAAAAGGGACAGTAGAATGAATTCAAAGGTATTCCAGGGAATAGTGAGTCAGAAAGTTCTAAATGAGAATTCCAGAAACTACAGGTTTTTAAATGAAACTGTTGTTTAAAGGATGGATTCTATAGGGAGTTTGAAATGAGTGTCTCTGTTGCAGCATCTAGATATTTTCTCTTCCATTAAGGGTCTAGTATTTTAATGCATTTTGCATGAGAATTGCCAAATAGTGTGCTACTACATTTTAGAGTTTATATAAAATATCTAAGACCTAAAAATATAAAATTTAGTAAAAGTGTAGAAAATTAAGAAAATTTCAATGGGAAAATTTTATTTATTGACAGGGAAGACATAATAATTACCATAGTAAGATCAAAGTAAAAAATAAAACTGAATGCAATATATTTTAGATGCCACAGATGAAACTTATTTATGTAAATGAGGACAGGCATTGTATTATGTTGCATTAAATAATTTTAATTTCCTTATTTACATAGGTTAAGTCATATGGCAATCATCACAAATTGACTTATTTTTTGATGATTTTGTTTGTCATTTCTTTAAGTTTTGTTGAAGCAAGCAATATGAAATAAATTTGTTATATGTCTGCCAAGAGGGCTGGGTAGGGTGGAAGGAAACCTGGGGACATTGGTGGAGAGAAGGTCTCACTGGGGGTAGGACTGGCGGAACTCTGTATGCTTGAAACAACTGTATTATGAACAACTTTGTTAATCATGGTATTATAGTAAAAATAAAATCTTAAAAAATGCAAAATAATAGTAATAACAATTATGCTAATAAATTAGCATTTATATAGCCCTCATACTAAAAAATAAGAGCAAACAGCACTTATGTAACTGACGTTTTACACAAATAGCACATCAGATTATATTTCAAATAAAAACACATACACTGCCTTTTGAAATCCTCTATTTTAACATTTAGTATTTTAAATGTTGATTCATAGAACAAGCAAAAAACCAACGTTGCATTAAACATCTCAGAATAATTTTAGCTTTTTTCATTACCTGGAAAATCCACCAGATTATGAAGGGTCAAAAAAATCTTGTTTTAAAGTCAATTAAGGCACAGACAATTATGGGGCATTTTTTTCCCCCTGCAGCCTCGGGCAACTAGAAATGGCCAGGGATGGTAACTGACTCCCTTTTCAACAGTTTGAGAAAAGGGAAAAAAAAACTGTAAGTTTCCCCATCTGTTATTTCCTTTTTTTTTTCCTTTTGGCTGTGGGAAAGTAAAATTATGCAAGAGCTTTTGAATGTAAAGGCTGTGTGTGCTTTTTCCCTTTTTGTCTCTGTGTACTGGTTCTGTGTTGTTGCGTAACTGAGTACAGAGTAGGCGGTTAGCGTTTACTATTGATTTACACTATGCCATTTAATGAATTCAGAACACTAAAAAGAAAGGAGCCGGAGGGGGATGGAGCAAAGAGAGGAATAGAGAGGAGAGAAGGGAGGGGAGAGGGAGAGAGCTCCTGCAAAGAAACCCGTGGAAAGCCGGGAAGCATTCGTATTCCCTCTCGCTCTGATTTTCTGGTTGAGACTTTCTGGTTAGTGTTCAGGTCTCAGAAAACCCCATTTGAGCTGGTGACCCCAATATTCCAGCCTCCTTTCTAATGAGGATTACTGGCAGGTGAATGTCTGAAAGTACTAATGTGTCAAATTACTTGAAAGCAATTCCACTAAACTGTCAGACTTCTCCATATGCACATATTTATCATTCTCTCTATGCATTTGTGAATCTTTATCTGTGATTGCCTATGTTATGGTTCAACTACTTTACCTTCTTGCAAATATTATTTTAAAGACACACAGGGATATCATCAGACAAAAAAAAATTCAGTTCTATTTTACGAATTTCCTCTGAAGTGCATACAAAATGCATTTTAGTAATCTTTGAATGAGCCCCTATTTTACTTTAGAAGAAAATAGGCCACAAATTATTTCACTAAACAGAATAATCCCATATATAATGGTAAAAGAGAAATGAGCAAAATTA